AGTCATCTTTTCAGTGCATATAAATCTACCAATCTACCTCTTCAAACATCAATTTTACTCTTAACTCTCAACATTGCTCAATCCTCAAGCTTCAAAAGGTATAGATACAGGAAGTAAGAATTATAATCCGTAAAAAAAGAACTTACCATTACTCTCGAGGTACGTACCATGATAAACTTGATCTATATGTATATTTAATTTCTATAAAATTTTAGTGTTTAACATATAGATATAAAACTAATACACAATACTCACTAAAATTTTAGTGTTTAATTTCTATAAGATTTATACTTTTCATCTACATAATGCTATGCATGTGCAAAGTGTGGTTCGAAAATCATGGAACACACTAATGATTCTCACTATCAGGTTCTCTACTGTACTCGTCCAACAATGCATAAAACAATAAATGTCATATAATATATTTAATTAAATTTATAAAATGAACATCAATTAAAATAGATAGAAAGAGTACATATACAAACAAAGTCCTAAGGTGTCAAAACACGAGAGTAGCATTGAAGACATATCGTAGAATTCATCTTTTTTTCCCTCTATCATTTCTTTTTGAAGATATTCCATGCAAAGTAAAGGAAGAAAAATTTCAGTAGATACTCGTCATCCATCCCCTAATAAAACACAAACTAGCATATATCCATAATAAATTATTTTTAACTTTGCCATTACATATCGCAGAACATAAAACATAAATATCAAACCATAAAAAAATTATTAGATATATATAGCTTATCTTGTTTGAACTTATCTTCAATATACACTCTGTTTGGATGATGTGCAAAATAGTGGGGTGCAAAATCAAGAAGAAAATATAAATTGTTAGAAAGTTTTCACTTGTTTGGATGTTTGGAATAGTGAATGGAGTGCAAAAGGAAGTAAGTTATTTTTTTAGAAGTTTATTTCATGAGTGGAAAAGTTGGAGTAACATTGAAGAAAAATATGTAGGATCCCACTTTTTTTCTTCTACCATTTATTTTTGAAAAGTATTTCATGCGAGTTTTAAACTCATATTCATTCCCAGAACAGAAGACATAAATATCAAACCATAAAAAAAATTATTAGATATATATAACTTATCTTGCTTGAACTTATCTTCAATATACACTCTGTTTAGATGATATGCAAAGTATTGGGGTTGCAAAATCAAGAAGAAAATATAAATTTTTAGAAAGTTTGCACTTGTTTGGATATTTGGTATAATGAATGGGGTGCAAAAAAGAGTAAATTATTCTCTTAGGAGTTCATTTCATGAATGGAAAGATTGGAGTAACATTAAAGAAAAATACGTAGGATCCCGCTTTTGTTTTCCTTCTAACATTTTTTTAAATATTTCATGCGAGTTTTAAACTCAAATTCATTCTCTAACTAGTTTAGATAGTTTTTCATCAAGATATTCAATCTTTCCTTCTCACCCCGACTATTTGGTCATTCACTTTTTTTGGAGGTGAAAGTATTACTTATTGTCATGAGCATTTTTGCTGCACAAGTGATTGACTGTCTCTCAGCGCAATTACAGGTACAAGGATGAAAGTATATAAACTTCTGAATTGGGTACTTGTGAGATATGTAAATAAGTGAAACAAATGATAGTGTTTTAACAAAATAAGTGTTAGTTCTAATGATAATTAGCAAAATTAAACTTTTATGAAAATAAAGTAATGATGCAAAGTTAGAGTTCATGTACCTTTCACTGAGAGATAGCTTATGTAGGAACAATAGATAATCGACGTCCTCGGGGATTTCGCTATTAGTCAAATTGAATAATTATTTGATAAGAACACAAAGACTTTGGAATTCTTCAACCCAACTCTTACTCATTAACAGGTTTCTGTTGTTTGGTTTTGATAAGAACACCAAGACTTTGGAATTTTTCAACCCAACTCTTACTCATTAACATGTTTTAGCTGTTTGATTTTGTTGTGTTTATTTTTTCTGGATCTAGGAGCATAATTGACCTGACCAAGTGGCAACGAATTGCCGCCTTATTAGCTTTTCTAATCACGTAAAATCGGTAATGCATATACGTTTCTTTGTTCTTTTCACGGGTAAAGTGGAAGTGGAAGTCTCTCATATGTACGTAAGCAACATCCTTGAGCATACCCCTACAAATTGTAATTAATGGCTCACCAGCATGTGACTTTATGAGTGTACACATCTCATTATCAATCAGATCCTTACAGGACTACTCAGACAAAGACTGATAATTGAAGTTTTCTGACTTTTGAAGGTCATCGAGTTGTCTTTTGAACAATTTTGATATTTCTTAGAGTTCAATTGCAGCCATGGGATCTATACTTTCACATGAAAACCGAGATAGATCTGAACCACCAAGTTTAATCAAGCAAGAATGATAAATGTAGAAAAAAAATATACCATTTGTCTCGAGATACCTTGATAAACTTGTTTTGCATGCATAAATAAATTCGGTAAAGTTTTAGTTTAAAAAAAACATATAAAATCTAATATACAATTGATTTCTTACTTTTCATTTGCCTAATGCTCAATGCATATGTGCAACAATTTGTCCAAAAATTAGGAAACACGCAAAATAGTGAAAATATCAGGCCTTCTGTTGTAGCCGTCTAATAAAGTAAAAAAAAAAAGGTAATGTAATATAGAAATAATAATAAAAAATAAAATAAATTAAAACACACTAAAAATAGTTTTTTTAATATTCTTTTAACATAGTTAAACTTGTCTATCAACTCATAGATAATCCACAATATATGGGAAATACGTGCATTGTTTACCTTTCATATTAAAAAATCATGAATTTTTGTGAGAGAAAAATAGAAAAACAAAATGATTTAAATACAAGAAGTAAGAATGATAATATGTTGAAAAAGATCTTAACTCGATAAACTTGATCTGCATGCATAATTAATTTATATAAGATTTTGGTTTTAACACAAAAAACTAATACACAATTGATTTCTTACTTTTCACCTCCATAATGCACAATGAATATGTGCAAAAAGTTGTCAAAAAATAAGGGAGCACATAAAAGACTTCGTGTTTTACTATTAAGTCATATACCGTAGTCTTCTAACAAAGTATAAAAACAAAATTATCATTTAATATTAAAAAAATAAAACAAAATAACGATCATAAATTAAAAGGGAATTGAAAGAGGTTTTACAATCTTACTCTCGTATGTCTCAATACAGCGGACATATAAGAACACAAATACTAACCTAAAAAAAAGGTAGTAGTATTGAAGACACCTATGTAGGATTCCTCTTTTGTTTTTACTCTACCATTTCTTTAAGGTAGTCCATGCAAAACAAAGGGAAGAAAATTTTCATATAAAAAAATTATATTTAATTTTTAAATTAAAAAATAGTATATATTTAGAGTATATTATTTTAAATTTCACCATTACATAAAATGGAAGACATAAATATCTAAGCATTAAGATTTTATTAGATGTATATAACTTATCTTGTTAAAGCTTATCTTCAACGTACACTCTATTTGGACTAGGTGAAAAATAGAGGAGATGCAAAATCAAGATACAAATACAAATTTCTAGAAAGTTGAACTTGTTTGCATATTTCATAACCATGGAATTGGTGCAAAGGAAGAGTATAATACGTTGCGAGGTTTAGTTGTTATTAATGAGAGGCGGGGGCCAGAAAAGTGGAAAGGTGGGAGGGTAAGTTTTTTATATAATTTATTTGTATCATTTCATTAATATAACTATAATTGATATTATTTTACACCCATTTTATACACTATTATTTTTTTCTCAAACAATCATTTACACCCCTTAAATTTACTTCTCATACAATTTTCACCTCAACTTGTACTCTTCGAATTTGAACTTCTGTTAAATAGAGTGGCAATTGATTTGCTAATAGAGCCTTTAACGTGTCTTCAACAAGCCTATCCATCCGCTAAACTACAAACAAATCTAATTTGAAAGAAAGAAATTGACAGAGTTTTACGTGTCGTTCTATTATCACCCTAGAAAGTTACTTTACGAACCACCCTAACGACTAAAAAACCGATCACTACCAGAGAAACAGAGACTATAACCAAGTTGGCATTGCAAATTGCAATAAGCTCTGCATTAAAGAGGACAAGACGACATGAAGGGAGGACCTTGATCAACCGAGCAACAATCACATTGGCAGACGGTGTCAACAAGAAGAACTTCAGGAAGTGAACCAGAAGGGAGGCCATAGAGCGGGGAGCAAAACGAAGAGGAAGGGTAACATGAGCGAGTGGGACCGAAGAGGCAAAAAAAAAAAAAAAACTCGGATAGTGTATAAGGAAAATAACAAACAAACATGTGGTTGAGTAATCTCTAAACCACTATTAAGACAAGACTTCCATATTATCAAAAGAACACATACATACTGAGGAATCTAGGATTGGGAGCGTTCATAGCGCAGTATAAATTGGAATTTGTAGTTGGGATCTAATGGAGATAATCTCGCAAAAATAACTAATATTGTTCACTAAAACATAAATTACATCGTATTATGCAATCAAAGCACCAACCAACAATGATTAGAAAGCAATGTTGAGATTAAAGACTAATTAATTAGTGTCTAATTATTCTTCTCATCACATAAATCAAAATTTTTATGAACCATTAAAAATTGTAGATTTCCATAAAGAGATCGCTTAAGTGACTCATTTGTTACTTGTAACATCTCATCGGAGACCTTCTCGACCACTTGTAACAAACAATCTCTATTTTCCGGAGAGGAAAACTCTGATGTTTGATATTAATGCTTGCACCTTTGACTTCTTGAACAATGATTCTAAACACGCTTCACACCTATCCTAACAATGTTCGAACGAGGGTGTTTGATGTTTTCGATAGCTAAGAAAACTACGTTAATTACTCCTACTATTATGGAGGTTTAGTGAGAGCTCCAAAAACTAAAATCTATGACTGGCTACATTGTAGAGAAAAAGAATAAAGTTTGACATGTGTTGTCAAATGGTTGGTTGTGGAACCCTTGCTTCGCCATTGTTTTTCCTTTTTATAACCATCCCTTGTAACCGACATGTAACTGCCTCTTGTAACTACTGCCTCTCATACTTGGTACTTGATGTAGCCTGCTTAACACCTTAACCTCCTTGCTTGCATGCATATCACTTGGTACCTTGATAGCTTGACGACTTCACTTGGCATGTAGCTAGCTTTTGTCGTGGAGGAATCTCGCTCGATTTCATCTTGACGTTGGATGCCTCATGCTGACCACCCTTGCATGACGTCATGCTCTACACCAAGGTGCTTGGGGAGTTGATGGATTCACACGGACCCTTTGGGATGGCATCATGCTTGTAGGGCCTTGACAAGCTGGTCTACCATCAATGAGGCCTAGAATGCCTGACTACTTGGAAAGAGGGTGTGTTGTGCCATACCCCATTGGCAGGATATCATGCTTAGTACCCTGGTGCGCAACCTGCTTGAGGGGTGGGTGGAGAAGTCTTTACACTTAGCCAAATTCCATCCCCACTGTCTCTACCCCTCTTATACGATGTGATTGGCTCCCCTTGGATGATGTCATGATTGACCCCCCTGCTGGTTGAGTCTCAACATTTAGCCTTGTTTCTCCACCACCATGCCTACTTGGGTAGTCGACGCTTGACCCCCCTTGGACGATGTCATGTATGACCTCCCTTGTGGTTGAGTCTCCATACTTAGCCAAATTTCGCCTACGCTTGACTCCTATTGCATGATAGGTGGGTGTTTGGTGGGTCAAGGGGTATGCGTTGAGGTACCTTGTGAAGCCCAAAATTTCATCACTTAGGCCCAACTTAAGCCAATTTAGTTAATATGGTTAAGCTTTTTTTTTTTTTTTTTTTTGCATTACTGGAGGCATCAAGCCAAAGAAGGATGAATATTACAGGAGGGAGAGAGACTAAGAGGGGGTAAGAGAGGTCGAAGACACTACACTTCTAGTATAGGTGATGCCTCAAAGATCGTCATGCAGAAGCGGTTGAAGCTCCTCAGGCGGTGTCTCTAACTCATACATACCATAGAGATAGACGAGACTGTGCTTTGAGAGCCAGTCTGCGACTCTATTCCCTTCCCTGTATGTATGAATTAGATTCACCACCCAATCTTGAGAAATTTTCCGTCTAATAGCTGTGAGTAGGGCATCATACAAGTGAAGAGAATCAGTCCTATGGTTCACCAGTTGAATGGCCACTTGAGAGTCTGTTTCCACTATGAGGGTCCTGCATCCGTTGTTCCAAGCTAACCAGAGTTCATGGTAAATGGCCCAAATTTCAGCCATGGTGGCATGACATGAACCCAGATTTGTGACGAAACCACCTACCCAAGAACTATTGTCATCTCGCAACACACCTCCCGTACCAGCAATCCCCTGAATCTGATTTGCCGCTCCATCCACATTCAGCTTCCACCACCCTGCAGGAGGTTCCTTCCTCCCAATCTGCACATTGACTCGGCTGGGAGGGGAATTATCCATGCCGACCAGCAAGCTTGGTGCCTTCCATGCCCGGAACCATAAGTCTGCCTTAATCCGAATTGACTAAAGAAGAGAAGGGGTGGACAGAGTCTTGCTTACTCCATTGAAAGCTCATTCGTTTCGATTCTTCCAGATACACCATAACGGTATGATGAAGAAGACATTCCAAGGCAGATCAGCATCTGAAGTCTCCTCCCTTGTTAAATCCTTCTTCGACCAGTCTTCCCAGTGCCAACTAAATAACTCTACTTGGAAAGCTTGCCCGATCGTGCGACTCCATAAGTAAGCAGCTGACTTATAATCCCTGAAAATTGCATAAGAGTCTCCATACGATTGGTGGATCTATAGAAAGAAGTATCTTGTGTTAGATGTCCTTTCCCATAAGCTCATTTGAGCTGATTCGCCCCTGGGCTAGCAGCCACGCAAAGCATCGAATCCGTTCTAGTACCGCAAGCTGTCAGATTATCGTCCACCAATGTAGCTCGTTGTTGGGTAAAGGCGGTTGTTTCATGTGATACGCACTTTTCGTCGAGAATCTCCCGTCCAGATTTAAGGTCCAGAAAAGGGTGTCATCCTCTGTCGCTAAGGGATCAACAACGTGAGTTGTGATCTGTCATCAGATCTCCGGGGGAAGTAAAGCGCTGAACTTCTAGGTCTCCCAGTTTCCTTCTTCGTAGACATTATCAGTCACCATAGCATTTCGATCCTCCTCTGGTGTCTGATCCATTGCTAGTTCTTGGAGCGGTATCTGTGTCAACCAGATATCAGACCAAAAATTAGTGTGGTTTCCTTGATGAATGTTCCAAGCACAACCTTTTTAATTAGGTGAGACGCATTCATGAAACTCGACCACGTAAAGGAACTTCTCTGAACATGTCTCAAAAGTTTGATGTTATTGCAGCCTCTTCCATACTTCGATTCCACCAACTGGACCCACAAGGCTTCCTTCTTCTCGATGATGCGCCACCCTCCCTTGGATAACATTGCTAAATTTACTTGCCTCGTCGACCGGATGCCATGTCCACCATTTTTCTTTGCCTTCAGCAGCTGAGGCTAGCCCACAAGATGGAACTTCTTCTTGTCCTCCGTATCACCCCATATGAAGCTTCTGTTAATCCTATCAAGAGACCTGCACACACTCATAGGATGCAATTTTGTTTGCATAGGATATATGGGGATAGAGGCCGAAATGGACATGACTACCGTGATCCGAACAGCTAAGGAGAGGTGTTTAGTCTTCCACGGTGCAAGTTTCCTCTGAATCCGGAGCATAAGATCTTGATATCTTGTTTTGGTTACTCTGTTGTGGATCGCCATCACCCCGAGATACCGCTGATGACTCGGTATTTGTACATGTTTTCCCCTTTGTTTCTTGATTGTTTGAGCTTGAATTATTGTGTCTTTGGCCTATTTTACGCTAGGTTGTGTTCCTTTGTCACATTTCAGGTCCTAGCACATAAAGTGAAGCATAGGCGCAAGTTTCACGTCAATCAGAGATCAATTGACGATTAGGGAGAAGAAACTCGGGTATGACCTGAAGAAGAATGGATTTCTACCTCAATTTATGGACAAAGAATCATGCAAGCTTGTCATGAAAAGAAAGAGGACGAGACTACGAGCGTCTGGGATCAAACGGCGACTGATTCGGAGTCCGGACGAGGGAGAAACGAAGCATTAAACAGAGGCTGAGCAAGCCACACGGGCATAACCCACACGGCCGTGTGACCTGGCCATGTGGCCGTGTGGAAATTACCGAGCCTTCACACGGGCAGCTGGGAAAGCCACACGGCCATGTGGCCTGGCCGTGTGAGTCGGGAATTGCTATTTAAAACCCGATTTTCAGCAAAAGGAGAGGGAGAGAGCTGGGTTTTTGATCCCAAACACCCAAGGGACGAACCCTAGAGAGAGAGAGCGACTTGGGAACATTCTTGGAGCTATTTTGGAGGATTTCTTCGCCATTGAAGCTCGGGAATCAAGCTTGGAGATGGAGATTGAAGATCTAGATCAGATTTCTACAGTCTCTCTCTTCTCTATGGAGTAACTTCCCTTCACTTAGGTTTTGAGGAACCCTAGTTCCATGAGTTAGGATCTTTCTTGTATGAAGTTTTGGATGCTATATTGTTTGATTTTAATCGAATGATGCATGTTTATTGAGTCAATTGAAGTCTGATCAACTTTTCCTGATTTCTGCTGCAATCTGAGATAGATAGAATCTGATTAGGTTGTTAGAGCCTCATCATTCGGTAGTAGGAGATTGGCTATACGAGAGTTAGCCAGTTTACTGCTTTGTACTGGAATCCAATTCCAGTAGTGGAGTTCTGTTCTTACTGCTTCAGCTTTCTATCCCGGTGAAGACTAGTCGTCTGCCAGGTAGTTAGACTGAGAGGGCTTGGTCAGCTTAAGAGATTCCAAGCTACTGTCGGATCTTCCGCAGTTTAATCAACAGTAAAACAACCAAAAGGAATTACAACTTAGACCTAATTGAGGAGCTAGGGGGAATCATACCTAAGTGAGTTCCCAAACTGTAATTAGTAGTTTTACTTAGTTGAGTTAGTAGAGTAGTTTAGTTAATCAACCCTTAATCTAGTTTGCTAGATAATGAACTGAAGCTGAGTAATAGTAACTCTAGAGACCCGTGGATTCGATATTTATTACTTGTGCCACTATACTGCAGTCCCTTTCATTGGTTACACTTGGCCATTGTTAGGTGTTGTGTTTTAGCGTGTCAAGTTTTTGGCGCCGTTGCCGGGGACTTTCTAGATTATTAGGAAAGACAGAAGTTTGTTACTTTAGCGTTTTTATTTTCTTTTCCACCCTTGCTTTTCACTTGGGTGTTTTTGTTTTTGTTGGTGCAGATCTGAATCATGGATCCTCATGGCTTCTCCAACCATTGGGGGTATCCACCACCATCCGAGTGGTATTACCCCGAGACTCCCTGGAGCAATCAAGGAGGAGAAGACTATGGATTTGGGTTCCAGTACCAACCCCCTTTCTACGGAGAACAACCAGACCCCTGGGCATATCAAGAACAATCTCCTTATCAAGAAGAATTCCTCCCACAACAAGAAGGGCCATCAGATCTTGAGTTACCCATGGCGGCCTTCAGTGGCCACTCTGCAGAGCCATGCTACACTTCTCTGGAAGATCCGAACAAACAATTAAGGCTTCTCGTGGAGCAGTTTGCTCGAGACACTGAGAGAGCCTGCTCCAAGATGGATCTTCAAATCAAATCCCTTGCTGCTTTCGATCCCTCATTTCTCCATGATATGGAGGAGACTGTTCAGCGCTCAGCGAAGCAAACAGAGTGGGTGGAGCAAGTTTGCTCACATCTTGCTCAAGATCACCTTTCTGCTACCACGCTAGAAGAGGTGGAGGATGACAAAGGCTATGGGGATGTTGAGGAGCATACAGAAGTTATCACAGAGAACTCCCATGATAATCATGATCAGGAAAGCCTCTGGTTGCAGATCACACAATTCCTTATTTCTGCTCTAACATGCTGGGCCCGAGCGAGGGGATGCAAGATGATCTCATTGAAGAAATTGCTTGGCGACTTGCTCTCCAATCTGTTCTAGAAGAAGAAGAGCGAGCAAGGATGAGGAAGGAAGTTGTGGAGGATGAGGAAGAAAAAAAAGAAGAGGTGGTTCTTGATCTTTTCCCAGGGGTGATACCACATGAAGAAGAAAGGGGGGTTGAAGAAGCAATTGGCGTCCAGGCTGAGGACGGAGTTAAGGTGGAAGAGGCCTGCACTGGCCATGAGTTGCAAGTAATATCCCCACCAAACTTTGAGGAACTGCTTAGCAAGGACCCATTTGCAGTGTCTCTTTGCCAGACCAAGGCCACATCAATATCGGTCCCTCTTGGTGGACGCGATGGTGGCCAATCGATGCTGTCATATTTGGATTGGGGCAATGAGACGAGAGAAGAGAAGAAGTGGTCTCGAGGGTGGAGACTTCATCTGCATCAAGTACACGAGCCTTCATCACCTGCCACACCACATGCTCGTGACTTGAGACTCCACTTCATCGACGAGAACCTCAACTTCAAGGAGGTTCTAGCATGGACCGAAACTTAGGAGCCATCGTCCGGCTCACGACGTGAAAGAAGCGTTTGTTGGGAGGCAACCCAACCAGTCGGTTTGCATTTCTTTCTCTATTTCTCCTCGGTTGAGTCAGTTTTGCTATTTGATTTTAGAGTCAATAACTCAACCTTTGTGAGATTTTGTGTGGTGTTTGTGTTCTGGTTACTCTCTCTTCCTGGAATGCACCGCCTGACCCGTTCATCATCATTCACCCTTGATCTGGTAACTTCGTTCTACCCTCCTTATCTTTCCTCCATTGAGGACAATGTCGTGCTTAATGTGGGGGGATGTTCGATTATGTATGCGGGTAAATGTTTGGCTGTTTGTGTGCTTGGAGCCTAGTCCACTGTCCAAATTTTTAAATTTGAGGGCTCCAGGTACGTGTTCCTTGCAATTGCCTGCTCAGTATGCTTTGAATTGACAGTCTTTATAGTAATATGCAACCTAGGGAGGTAGTGTAGCACTATGGAGGATGTTGATGCATTTAAGAAATCTCATTAGTTCTTCATATTGTGTTGGTTGATTGAGTGAATTAGTGATCTTAGGACCCTTGAATTGTGTGGTGTTGTGGACTCTCTACCTGTCATGGACTCTTGTTTCATGTTTTGAAAGTAACAGGTGCTCGAAAATGTGCTTCAAAATAACGTCTCCCGTGCGAATAGGGCGAAAGTGTGTAAGGGGAGACGGGAATTCGTTCCCAATTTCCATCTACTACCTCCAGCCCCCTTACATGTCTTTCCCCCGCACGAGGCTCGAGACATCCGCTCCTGGCATGGCCGGTAAGAGCAGGTTGGGACCCTTGAAAAAAAAAAGAGTAAAGAAAAAATAACAGAAAACAAGCAAAACAGAAAGAAAAGAGGTTCCAACCATCTTCAAAGAAAATAGAGCACCTTGAAAAATGTGATCCATGATCCTTTTTTTTTAGAATCTCTTCATCCACAATTCATTTGCCCTCTGTTCACTATTTGCCATGATGCCGACTCGATAATAGTGCTCTCGCCGAAGAAGCTATGAGATGACTTGTGTGTCGGTTGACCTCGTAAGCTGCTAAACGATCTAGGAAGTCCTCTACCTACGATCTGGGGTGTATGTTGCTATAGAGCTCTGGAGAGCTGCATTGGTTTGAGTTAGGTTTGCTTGGGGACAAGCAAACAGTTAAGTGTGGGGGGATTTGATGACTCGGTATTTGCACATGTTTTCCCCTTTGTTTCTTGATTGTTTGAGCTTGAAT